CAACTTATGTCAGTTTTTATACTTTTGTTTACCTCTTAAAAAGGAAATGGTTTGGCACAGAGGTAGACATGCTTAATCCCAGCACTCAAGTGCCAGAAAGCAAAAATATGATTCTGAGTTCAAGGCCAACCTATTCTACACCCAGGCCAGCCAGGAATAAATAGGGGAACCTATTTCCAAAAATAAAATAAATTAAGCCAGAGAGACGACTCACTGGGTAAGAGCACTAGTTGCTCTTCTAAAAGAACTAGGTTTCATTCCCAGCATCTGCATAGCAGTTTACAACTGTAATTCAAGTTTGAAAGCATCTGTTGTCTTCTTCTGGCATCCATTGGCACCAGGAAGGCACATGATCCACAGACATGCAGGCAAAACATCCACACACACAAGAAATAATGTAAAAGAAAAGGCATCAAAGGCTTTATTTAGTAAAATAAATTTCAGATTTATTTTATGTATAATCACATAAAATATTGAGTAAATAGATCTTCTGTGGATAAGTAGTGGCTTTAAATTTTCAAAATTTCTCTTAGCAAAACTAAAAATTTGATTCATTTCATGTTCTTATCTTCTGACTTGTTATCCATTTATCTTAGTTCCTTAATTATAGCCTCATTTTATTGTTTGATAAACTTCAAATTGTGAGTCATTAATAACACCAAGTCTAGTCTTATCTTTGTCTTTTTAATACTTTACTTTCTTAGGCCATTCTAGTTTGGTCACTGGTGAAATTTCACAGACCCGATTATGGTGATATTCCATATCCTGACTGGGGAGTTGCCCTAGGCTGGTGTATGATTATTTTCTGCATTATTTGGATACAAATTATGGCAATCATAAAAATAATCCAGGCTGAAGGAAACATTATTCAAGTAAGCACATTGAATTCTTATTTTATATAAGCATTTGTGATAAAGCAGATTAATTATGTAGAAGATATAACAGAGTACATGGGTTGAAAATAATCACTCTTCCTTCCCTCTGATTACTTTTACATCTTGTATTATCATGCTTTAGATTATATTATTTATGTTATTAAAATATATGGTAATAAATAATACATATGGTAATATAATTTGTATATCTACTTGTATTTTACTATCAGTTTTTTGTAGACATTTGTTACTGTTTCCTCAGGCCCTATTACACTCTTCAGCATGTAACAATTGTGATCTATTTATTTATCCAGTCATCCTGTAGATGTCAAAAAGCATGTGACTCAGTTGTTTCTTCTATATATACTCTCTTTTGAATCTTCATCTGGCTATAATACGAATCCTAATAGTGTATTTAAACTGAATGAGCTTAAATTAAATTGTCTTGCATCTTTTATAGCCCTTGAATCATCTTTCTTCCACAGAGGCCTAGGGTGATAGAGTTAAGTCTCATACTAGAATAATGACAAGATAAGCTTAAGAGACTTAATTTCAATAAATTCCTATGCATATCCAAGAACAGATCCAAATAAATAGACCTTATCTCAGTTTTTGAAACATATTCCAGTTGCATATCTGACCTCTGTGACAAGGACTGAAATGAATTTAGGAAAGCTGCCTAGAATGACACTGATATTCTAATGGGCTCATATACCTTTCTTCTTAAATCATTACGTTTTGGTTTAGTAGAATAATTCTATTAACAATTAGGAACAATATTTTTGCCTACAATTTCTTGTTTGGTGGTATTTTAAGAATCTAGGCTGTCACATTTCTTTGATTGCTATATCATTGGTGCTAGCAAAGGTACTTACAATAAAAGTGTAGTTTAATACTTGTTTTTTAAAAAAGATGATAGCGCTTAAATTCTAATAGAGAGATCTTTTTATTGCTTTTCAGCGTATCATAAGCTGCTGTAGACCAGCTTCTAACTGGGGCCCATATCTGGAAAAACATCGTGGGGAGAGATATAAAGACATGGCTGAACCTTCAAAGGAGACTGACCACGAAATCCCCACTATTAGTGGCAGTAGAAAGCCAGAATAAGATGTGCCTTTTGAGAAATATCTGATTGTTATATAATGTGATTTTCTAGGGAAATATTTTAATTTATTTGTGCATCAATCAAGCAGAGAAATGTACACGCCACGCTCAGTACAGAGTTGTAAGTACTTTTATCACCTAATCAAGAATGAAATATAAAATGTGAATCTATGAATGTGGACGGATGTGCTTGTTTCACTTTAGGATTAGTTATTTGTTAACACATATATCCAGATCTATTTTATAATGACATCTGGTAAACCCAGTTGTTTTACAATGACATTTTGTAAATATTATTGTAATATTTCTTTCTCTTTTTTTAGTATACTGAAGGTTTTCTGTGAGATGATTACTTAGGAAGTAGTCACACTTTGTATTTGGTGATTTTAAAGACATTATTTGTTTCTGCAGTCTTAATATTCATTTTTATTATTCATAGAATGGGGAAACAATAAGTCATTGTAGTTAAAAGCAAGTGTTACACAAAGTCATCTCATTTACAAGTCACAAATGGGGTCTTGAGAGGTTTCTCAGTGGTTAAGAGCAATGCCTATGGCAGAAGACGTAGGTTCAAATCTCAGCATCCACATGATGACAAATACTGTCTGTAATTCCAGTCCCAGGAGTTACAGGAGTCTTCTTCTGACTTCCATGACACTGTACGCATATGGTGTGCATACATGCAGGCAAAACACGCCCACACAAAAATACAAGCAAATAAATCTCGTTTAAAAAGGAATTTCACAAGTATGTAGGGAGAGATCTATATATGATACGGACTGTTTAATACCTATGATCCAAATATGTCCAAACATGTCATCCATTTATTATGGTTCACATTCTCTATGTAAACTTTGAAGTTATTTTTAGAGTGAAATGAGACAAAAATGATGAACAGGTGGTCAGAAAAGGATAAGTCTAGAAAATGTAATATTGAAGTTTTGAGTATATCTTACTATTCATAGTATCTTTCTTCTTCAGGTTGTATTTGGAATAAAACCATGACTCATTTAATTTCTTTCTTTATATTTTATTTTTTATTCATTTCACACACCAACCACAGATACCCTTCCTTACCCTTCTTCCCTTCCCTTCCTTATGCATGTCCACCCTGATCCACTCCACAGAAAGGGTAAGGCTTCCCATGGAGCGTCAACAAAGGCTGGCACATTCAGTTGAGGCAGGACCAAGCCTCTCCCTCCCCTGCTTCAAGGCTGAGCAAGGCATTCCACCACAGGGAATGGGTTTTAAAAAGCCAGCTCATGGCTTATAATAATGTAATAAGTAGTTCATTACATTCTCTGAATTCTAAATTTAACTGCAGATAGTATTTGCATTAAATTGTTACTGATCTGGCATTTTTATAATGATATATATCTAACAGATGAAGGGAAATAATCTTGTCTTTTATGTTTTTGTTTTGGTTTAAGAGTAATAAAGTATTCATATATTAATTGATGCTAATTGTTAACTAATAATAAAAATTTAAATAAAGTATTCATATATTAATTGTTAATTTCTAATTAGTTGTCACCAATAAAATTTTTGTACTCTGGTTTACTCACAAATGATACCTTGTGCTTTATTATGTATTTTTGACATATGATTTAAAATTCACAGCTCAGGATATTAAAATCTACCCTAAATAGATAGGAAACATTTCAAAAGTTATGCTAAGCTTTAGGAGATAATAGGACTAAAACTTTAAGCATTATTTTCTGGGGATGTGGATTTGCATTTGGTGAGAGAGTGAGTCCACTGCTTTCAAGATAAAGGCAAAGGAAACTGTGAAGAAAAAAAAAAAAAACAAGCAAACAAACAAACTTTTAAGAAGCACATACTGCTAGCTAATTTGTACTTGACAACTGAGTACCAAGAGGGAACAATTTTCTCATGCATCTTATCTCCTCCTTTCTTCTTTTGATTAAAGATCAAAGCAGTAAACTGATTTAGGTGTCTCTTAATAAGCATAAGTAAATGATTCTGAAAAGATGTGGCATGCAGGCATAGCAATAGACCTATAAATAATTAATCTCAATAATTCACATATAAGATCAACTTACCTTGATACTTGGAAGACTTTCTTTGTGGACAGACCCAATTTCGTGAACAAGCATAAAGAGATTTAGTCCCAGTAACACTTTATTTTATAGAGGACCATGTGAGATAAATGACTAACCAAAGCTTAGAAAATTTTATATTCATGCTGTTCAAATTGTATTAAAACATTGTATTTTTGTGCTATTTTAAGGTTGGGGTTTGCAGTAATTAAATATGTGCATGCAAACTTTAGAGGTGACATTTGGAATCTGTAGGGAAAATTTGGGCAGAGAGAAAATGTAATGGAATCAAATGTTTTCTAAATCCTAACCAAAAGGAGTAGTTAAAGCCTTGTATCACTACCTTCAGGTGTGAAGAAATAGATCTTAATAATCATCTTAATTTATTCCAAGCATATATTGCTTCTCTTCTTTTCATTATAAAATTTGATGATAATAGCAAGTGGTCATGTGCATAATGGACAAAGTAGTTCCATGTAATTCTTCTCATGCTATTAAAACTTTGGACAAATGGAGTAATAGACTGCAGTCCATTAGATGAAGATATTCTGGCTTAAATGAAGTTATCTTTTTTTTTTTTCAGCTATGAAGTTTTGAACTGTCTTTCCTTTTCTGTACTGTGTGCTTCTACACCCTTCCCCAATAACAATCTTATAATATAACAATATTAGTCAATGCATGTAACTAATTTTTAAAACAAAATGCAAGCAAACAGTAAGTGTCTGGAATCTGTATTGGACACCTCCACACCTTTAAGAAGAAACACAATCAATTGAATCCCGTCACATTTTAGATACTGTTGTCGCTATAATCATTCTCCACATTCTCCACTGGCAAAGGAGGATTCTTGCTTTTCATATAAGCATATAAACCCTTGAAACGCATGAAACTTTCTGGTTTATCAATCTTGCATTGCAATGTTTTCATATTGAACGATGTTCTCGGGTAATTGGAAAATATGTAAGTGGGTGCAGTTAACATTTTATAATTCAAAGCGTGAGCCCGGATGTTTGCTTTTTTATGAGAAGACCATTTTTTCCCTTGTCTTCCTTTGGATGGCCTCTTATATGAGATCATCTGCAAAAGAAATTATAACATTATGGTTTATCACAGCCTGGTAATTTCTGGACCTCACCTCATGCCAATTTAATTATAAAAGCCAACTGATTCATCCTAAGAACTAGAGATTAGTTTTGAAGGGTGACCCTGATTCACAAGTATGTTTTGCTTACGTATAAACTGAGAGAAAAAAGCCACAGAAGTAGTTTTATAATACTGAAGTGCTGTATTTATCAATTTTCTGGAAAGTCCATTAGTGGCCTCTACCCATGACCTTGATTTTATGTTAAAGTACTTCATTTGAAATTTGAACCACCAAAATATTCACATTCAGACCTGAAATAACTGAATAAAGTGCCCACTTAGCATGCTAATAAAAAATAAAATAAAAGTGATCGTGATAGCCATTCATACAGTTGTCTGAAAAGGTAATTACACTTATGCAGTTTAATGGAGCCCTGGCAGAAGAAAAAACAAAACAGGACAAATAGGAACTTGGCTATAGATGGGTGGCTTAGATTGGAATGGAAAAAATGAGATAAGAAGAGGAATTGATTCCTATAATGAATTGTGGTTTTAAATTAAGATGTTTGGCCCACTTTGGATTGATTTTTGTGCATGGTAAAAGATATGGAATACACTTCAAGATGTTGGTAGAGGCAGCAAACTTCTGAAACGAGACTGCTATAACACAGGCAAGAGCTCCAATCATTAACAAGTAGAACTATAATGGTTTTGCAGAGAGTAAATATCAGTGGAGTAAATAGCTTCAAACTGGGAGAAAATCTTTGACAGCTGTATGTCAAAGAGGAAACGAATACCCAGATTTTGCAAAGAACTACTAAATTTAAACTGCTAAAATTTTCTGTGGGTCAATAAATGGGCTAATAAAATGAATAGTTTTCAAAAGAAGGGATACAAATGACCAGGAAACACTTTTAAAAGGTAGTTCCTTTCCCTAACCAATAGGGAATTGCAAGTTAAAACAACTTTGAGATTCCATCTCATGCCAGTTAAAAAGATGGCCATCAAAAAAAAAA